AGCCGGGTGTTTCTCTGCTCCCTTTCACCTGGCACTGTCTCGTCCTAGTGCTTGACAACGACTGAGCTTTCATAGTCTCAAAGGTGTTGCTGGCTACTCGAGTTGGGTCCTGCTCACACGACAGGCTGTAGGTACAGGCAGGGGTGGCTGTGAGGGTGGCAGGGGCAGCACTGGGACCTTCTCCCAGGGCCGGCCCACACGCTGGAGCCCGCGTGCCCCAGCTGTCACCAGACGACAAGCCTGACAGGGACGCCGGCTTCGACCCCAGGCCCTCTGGAGCTGGTCAGGGACTGGGCTGACTCTGCTCCTGCTCAGCCTCACCTCTCAAGCTGGCTGCCCGGGCTTGATGCTGACCCCGTTGCAGGGTGACCGCAGCAGCTTGACTTGGGCCATCACCTTGAGTTTGGGCCAACAGGGAGACGGGATGGTGACAGGCCTGGGTGGGCGCTGGGAAGCCGGGGGAGGGGAGGCCTCCGTGGCTTTTTTCTGTGGTTCCCCCTCCCCTTATTCTCACCCACACCCTGCCCTGCTGTCACAGCTAGGTACGACAGCACCTAGGCCTCAGTACTCAGCCTCTCCCCATGGGACTGTCCCTCTTTGTACCAAATTGCTCCATAGATCAACAAAGGGGTGCGGAGTCTAGTGTCCTCACCACACAGGTCCCTCACCCTGTGGGGGCAGCAGGCACCACCTCCTCCCTCTTCTCCAAGTTGATCAGCCCCTCCTAGAAGGCAGACAGCCAAGGTCCACTAGAGAGCAGCACCTTCACCCCTGAAGCCTTCTGCCTGGTGCTGCACCATCAGATATGCCCACCAGGGGGCAGGGCACACCCACACCAGGACCGGAGCAGGCTCTAGAGGTCAGGGCAGGTGGTTTGGGGACAGAAGCTAAGGGACCTTTTTGCCCAACCCTCTCTGAGGATTATAGAGAGGTCAAGGCTTGGGTGAGAAGGTCTTGCTTGGCCACAACCTGCCCCTGAGCATGGAGGACCCAGCTTCCCTCTCCTGCGCATGGCCACAGCCCCTGGTTCCTGCTGTGTTCAGCTTGGTCAAATTCTGCCGCTCTGTGGTCAGGCAGCAGGGGTCAGAATGTGGGATGAGCATGGCACCCCGGCATGCACCCGGCTGTGAGGTGCCCACAAGTGCTGAGAACGAAGAGTCAGCGAGCGTCTCCCTCCTGCCATGCCTCAGCCTCAGCACCCCAAGCACAGGTGCCAATCACTGCCCTCGGCCTGGCCTCACTCACTCTCAGGCAGCCCTTGCAGGTAGCATCAGCATCACTTGGTCCGTGGTGAGTGTGCCCAGGTAGGGAACAGTGACCTGGATGCCACCTTGAGGCATTGGCTAATGGGTGATAATCAAGGCCCAGGGCTCCTGCCCTCACGTCTCAACCCAACCCAGACTCACCTGTTGCTCCCACTGGAGAAACCGGGGTCCTCTGGCCACCTCCCAAGTCCCCCATCTGGCAGCATGGCCCCCAAATGGCCATGGTGATGACCTACGGTTGGGCAGGTAACCCAAATTTTCTGGCACCTGCCTGTAGCCTTGCCCCAAGGGCTCTGCCAGGCCCTGGTCATGGTGGCTGCTCCTCCTCTTGCTTGCTGCCAGATGGCCAGGACACAGCCCAGCTGGGGCCTAGAGGAGGCTACGTCTAATGGACATTTCAGGCAGTGGGGCGACAGGAGCTTAGGACTGGGGGTCTCCCTGGCACCAAGCTGGGCCTGAGGAGGTCCCCCAAACTGAAATAAGGAACCCGATTCACCCTTTTGTAGAGTACATTTGCAGATCACAGAGAAAGCATTTTCAGCATGCATCAGTAAGCGGCAGGGAAGGGTTTATTGGGCCAAGATGGTCAGACACACTAAGAGTAGGGTGTGGGCCCTTGGGGAAATGAGGTATATTTTTTCCTGGTATAGGGGGACGGTTATGCTTCTCTTGAAGGGGTGGAGGCCCCAAGAGAAGGTGATCTCTACCCAAGAAGGGTACTAGCTCATTTCACACGCATGGGCAGAGTTTTGTTTTGTTTTTTTTGTAATTTAAACCATTTTTTGGGTTCTGTCACCCTATTCGTTTATCTTATGATCAGGCTCCTGTTCTTTATTTTCTTATGACTTTTAATATTTCTAAAAAAGTTTGAGCGCTATGGGTCTGGTAGGGAAGGAGCCTAAATTTCACCAAAGGAAGCTGGATATGAATCATCTTGGGTAACTCTGGCTGAGTCCTAAAAGTTACAGCCTCCTTAAAAGAACACCTTTTCATCATGATTTCCTTGTCTCCTCTCTACCTTTTATTTTTTTTCTATCCTGCCTCACCCTTCCTCTCCTGCTGTCGGCAACCCCTCCCCATCCCTAGGCAGGGAACGATCTCTCACTGTCTCCGCTGGCCACCAGTGGTCTGTGGACCAGGAAACGGTAGATCTGGACAGCAAATGCCTCACTGAAGCCCAGCCCTGCCCTGCTCGGTCCTGGCCTGGCCTGGACCATCACTCACCATAACCATCAGCATGAACCGCTCTGCTATTGGGTCGGGAAGCAACACCAAGAGTGGACAAGCTCATCTAGAGCTCTGTGGCCCTGAGCATAGGTCAGGAAAGCTCTACTGAAGGGCTTGACCCTGGGGCCGGTTCCAGCTCTGCAGGTGACAGTGGACACCAGCTCTGAAGCAGGTACTAGCGCTGGCAGTAGAGCTGCCTCTTGGTCCAGAGTGGGTGCCAGAGCTGACTCTACCTCAGAGGCTGCTGCTGCTTGGCCTGTCTCCCCCTCTGCAGATGGCTTAGACGCTGGTACTAGAGTTGTGGACAGAGGCGCAGAGGGGAAAGATCCTCAGACTGACTGCCTTTCCCTGAGCCATTCCCTACCTCACAGAGAGGCCCTGGTCCCTAGCGCACAGCAGGACATCTTCCCAGACTGTGCTTGGCCACCTGAGGGTTGTGAGGCTAATGCCAGTTCCTGGCCCAACAGCAGTCTCAGGTGTGTAGTTTCATCCATGCCTGCCACACTGTGTCTCAAAAAACGGTGGGTTTTATTGTTCATACATGAGTCTCTTACGTCATAGAGAAAACAGAACTAGTCCTGACTTCCATAAATATCCGTGTATTTACTTTTATTAGAGCTATTTCTTTAGACAGGTTTGAGTCCTTCCCTAATATCCCTTCATCTCAACCCAGGGCAGCCTAGTTGGAGGGAAATAAATCCCTCACTGCTAATAGCTGGGAACGTCTGAATTTCTTGCTCATTTTACTGGATATAGAATTCATAGTTAGAGGGTTTTTGTTTGTTTTGCTTTTCTGTTTCATTTAACACGGCACACAACATATTTCTTTTTGCCCTCCAAGGTTTTTGAGGAGAAATCTAATGATTATCTTTTAGGGGAAATTATAATGATAGGTATCTTCCTGTCCGCTTTACAAGCATTACTATACCTTAGTGTGTTTTATAAAAAGAACATTATGTTATTCTACTCTCAGTGAAGTAGTAACTTCACCTGGAGATCAGTAGGAATTTTTTTAAAAAGGAATTGGATATGTTGAGTGTAGACATAATGAGATCTCCAAAAACAAAAGTTATTACAGATTCTCAAACCAGAAACCAAAAAGACTTTCGCAGCATCCTGCAGCTTTAATTTCTAATAAGCTAAGTATCAGCCTTTGCAACCCATTTTTTTTAACTAAAGACAAAAGGTCCTGGAGGCCAAGAAGTGAGGCACCTGTTGTGGGCCTGGCCAGCTGTGCCTGGGCCATTTCATCTTCCGGCCTCACAGGAGCCGGTGAGGTCACTTTCGAGGTGAGCTATACAGCACAAAGGCCGGGGCTGGAGGGGAGGTTTTGTCCTGGAGACCTCTTGTCGGTGACCTGGGATTTGGATGCAGTGTCTTTGCTGGGATTGCTTTGGTGTTTCAGAGCTTCTGGAGGTTTGCTCTGCCGTGGTACCCAGTCTGGGTGGTGAATGGAGCACAGTAAAATCATGCTGAGGCCTCACGGACAGCTGCAGAGCGCTCAGTGTGGCTTTGAGCACAAGGAGGTACCGTCATGGCGGGGCCCCATGGCCACCTCCCCTAGAAAGAGCCTCACTGGTAAGTATCGAGCGCTGGGCACCGCTGGCCACAGTGGCTTTGCCAAGGTCCTGCCAGCTGAACATCTTGCCGCTGGGACACCAGTGCCAATTAAGGTACCTCAGAAGGAAACACTGAAGGAAACACCTTCATTCTGGGTGGAGCTATTAGAGGAACTACAGCACCCCAGTCATCCAGCTGCTGGAGGTCACTGAAACACGAGACAAACTCTACGTTGTACAACAATATGAGAGCAGGGAGACCTGAAGCAACACACCTGGAGGGCCACCTACCTGCTCACCGAGGAGGAGGCTGAGAGGTTATTCCTCCAGATTGCAGGCGCGGGTGCAGCGCTGCATGGCCGGGAGTTTATGCATGGAGACCTCAAACCTGAGAATATCTTATTGGACTCTCAAGGAAACACTAAGATCACTGATTTGGGGTGGAGAAGAAGTTCATTCCCAGGTAGACCATGGGCATATCCATACGGCAAGAGGTGCTGCCCGGAGTGATTCTTAAAAAACATAGCAAGGCCTGGAGGTGGATGTCTGGAGCCTCCACATTACTCTGTATGAGTTGGCTGTGGGTCGTGTCCCTTTCTACTGCAAGGGCAGGCATCAGGTGGCAGATCCTGGTGGGCAGATATTCCTGTCCCCCACCCCTCTCCTCTGACATCGAAAAACCTAATAGTCACCTCCTCAACAACAACCCGACAAAGTGGCCAACTCTAAAACAGATCGTGCAGCATCCGTGGCTCTGCCAGGGTGTACCTTCACCCAATCCTCCTCCTGAGCTCCTCCCAAAGCACAGGAAGACCGCAATCCTAGCCATCATGAGCAGGATTGACCCACTAACCCTCATCACAAAGCTCTGAGGCTCAGCAACTGTGACCACCGGATGGCCACATTTTTGCTCTGCCCACAGGCCAGTTAGAATTCAAATTCAGGATAAAGCCTGCAAATGAGGAGGTGGTGCTGTCCTCCTCCCCAGATCCCACCCCATCAGCCCTCCTCCCAAGGGGAACAGCCATCAAGCCTGCCAGCCACACTCACCCCTTCCTCCCAGGGGTGAAGCCCCCAGGGAGCAGGGTGGCAGAGGCTCCCAGCCTCCCATTCCAGTCTGCAGGATCCCCCCTCCCAGCACCGGCAGCCTGCCCAGCCCTGAGGCATCCGGTCCAGCTCCTGCACCACCTCATTCCCTGCCAGCAACAGAAGGCAGGTCTGGGAGGCAGTGAAGAGGACTGCAGCGCATGCAGTGGCGGCCCTGTCCAGCCCCTGCCTGCCGGGCTGCAGAAACCCCAGGGACCCCGGGACACACTTGTGGTGCGATGTAAGCAGTGGACAGCAGAGAGCAGGACAAACCTGGGGTGGGGTGGGGTCCTGTGGTGCTTCCTGTGTGTTATCTGTGTCTTGATGGTGCCATTGACAGCGGTCAAGTCCTAACCCTAACTTTCAGGAGGAGAGAGGGAGTCACTGCTCAAAGGGCACAGTCTCAGATGGGCAGGAGGAGCTGGCGGAGACATCTACTGCAGGGGAGGGGGGGGCACCGCAGCCAAGACTAACGTCTGGAGCGCTTCAGGTAAGCACGCATTCCCCAGGCCTCCTTGCATGTCCACTGGACACGCGTGCGAAGCCCGAGTCCTCAGCGAACGCGCACTTTCTGGTAACGGGGGATCGAGCAGGTGTGCTTCTCTGGCTTATGAAGGCGCCGGAGAGCAACCCAAGCTGCAGTGCGCCCAGCCCGCCTGGTCCAGTTGCCTCTGTCCAGCACAGAGGACACAGGTCCAATGTGCCACAGGCCTCGCTGACACCTGGAGCCACCCAGAGAGCACAAGAGCCGGCACACTTCCCCTGCCCCACCCCAGGTCCTTCTGTCTGCCCCAGAGCAGGAAGCTGCAGTGAGTCCCCTTGCGGGCCTTTGTCTAGCGGAGCGGGAGGGGAAGCGGAGGGGAAGGTCGGCTCTGCGTCTGAGGGAGGGAGGTGGGTGGGCAGCCCCGGAAGGCTGTGCAGGCAGCAGGAGCTGAGACCCAGTGGGAGGACGGAGGAGGAGGGGCAAGACGCGGAGGAGGGAGAAGCGGCTTACCTGACTTGTGTTCTGCTGCCCACGCTGCCTGGTCTGGCCAAGGTCTCATAAGCCCTGGCTCCGGGGAGGTCTGACTGCAGAGCAGTCCTTCTTGAGCTCATTCGTACGGGTGTTGCCAGACGCCCAGCTTCTCGCTGACTGCTGGCTGGAGACTTAGTTCTTCACCCTCTGGGTGTCTCCCCAGGTTCCTGTGTGTTTCCTGACAGGACAGCTCCCTTCTCCCAGTGAGAGGCATCCAGGAGGGAGACAGCAAGCATGAGCGGGACAGCTTCAGCTGTGGTCTTTTAGGAGCCAACCCACGAAGTGCTGCACCATCGCTTCTGCTGCATGCTACCGGCCACACAGACCGACATGGCGCAGCGTGGCGGGGACTACATGGGATGTGATCAGCAGTAGTGGAGGACCCAACCTGGGGGCAGATGGGAGGCTGCCTCCCACAGGCCATGTCTGCAAAAGCGCTGATTGGTGCAGACTCCTCGCATCTGCCTACCTGGCCCGGGTGACTCCTAGAGCCTTCCCCAGGAGGGCCCTGCTCATCACTACAGAAGCCAGCATGCCCTATGCCAGCGTGCTCTGTGGTGGGGACGTAACAAAAGCCGCGCAGTTCCTGGAGAATAAGTCTGCGGGGTGGGCATTACTGTCCACACTTATACATGGAGACGAGGAAAAGCTGAGCAGTTCGTCCAATCACACATCTATGTCACGGGACCAGGCCTTCCCAAGTGTGTCATTCTTTGCAGCATAGATCCCTACCCCCTGAGTCCCTACTCCTTGTGAACTAGCCCCTGCCTCTGACCCGCATGTACAGTTTCTGTGTAAGATCCCTGTGAGATTTCAGGACTCACATAATACAAGAATGTAAAACAAGTCATTAGCAATTTTTTTGTGTAATGCTGAGGTTTTGTTATCAAGTTTTGAGGTGCTCACTTCTTGCTATTCAGGTTCTTTTCATCCCAGAGAATTGCACAAAACAAGCAAACACGGTGACAGAATTTATTTGAAAAAGTAAAAGTGGAAGATAAGGGAGAAACCAGTTCTGCGGAGGGAACTCGGGGCCAGGGAAAAGACAAGGAAAGAGAAGTACACCCTGGGGGACACAGGGCGGGCTGCTGTGAGGGAAGCCAGGGAGTGAGCTCTTCACGGCATCTGGGACATTTTATCTCCTCCACGCACCATGGGAACCCAAAGCAACATCCTCATATGGGGTTGTGGGATCTGGTCACCCCTCTCTGCCCAGGCAGTCTAAGCCACGCCTTTCTCCCTAAGTTTGGACCCTTGCAAATGTCAGGAAATGCTTACCCCTGAGCCACACCCAGGCCCTATTCATTATGTTGATTACATTCTGAAAATACTTTGGATATACTGGGTTAAAGAAAATGTATTATTAGAATTAATTTCACAGGTTCCTTATGGTGTTTTGTTTTGTTTTGTTCTTTTGCTTTGTTTGAGGCTGGGCTTGCTATGTCATTCAGGTTGGACTTGACCTCACTATGGAGTCCTGAATGACCTCAAACTCCTAGTTATCCTCCTGCCTCAGCCTCCCCAGTGCTGGGATCATAGGCGTGCACCATCACGCACAGCTTACTTACGCTTTTAATATGCCTTGTGAACGATTCACAGGTACCTTCGCAGTGCCTGTTGTAACTGCAGCACAGTGCTGCTGCAGCTTGTCTGTGCAATGTGTGCTGAGGGAGACAGTCTCCTGGAAGATGGCAGTCTGCAGGCTTGTCTCCAAGTCCCTTTACCAAGCCCGGGCACTTTTTCCCTAGAGCGCATGCTTCGTGGGACGGTTGAGGTCACTTCCAAAGGTAGCGGCTATAGTCCTTCCAAGAAACCTTGAAGTCACCAAATCTCCACAGCTTGGGAATCTGCAATAAATGAAAGTTTCTGCTTAATTTCCTTCCTTGCAGTGCTTTTTAATACTCATTTTTAAACAGTTTTAGTGTGTCTATATAGGTGTGTTTTGTTTATTCATTTATTTATTTATTTTTAAGACAAGATCTTTCTCTGTAGTTTTGGCTGGCCTCACATTTGCAATGATCCTACTGCCTCAGCCTCTCTAGCACTGGGATTATAGGCATATGCCACTACACTGGCCTTTTTTTTTTTGGTAGTACTAGGGATTGAACTCTGGACCTCACACTGAGCTAAAGCCCCAGCTCTTTTTATTTTGAGATAGAACCTGGCTAAATTGTCCAGGCTGGACATGAACTGTGATCCTCTTGCCTCAGTGTCCTGAGTAGCTGGGATTACAGACATGCACCACTCTGCCTGGCCTTATAGTATAATATAAAATGCACTATTTGAGCTGGTGTGGTGATGCACACTTGTAATCCCAGCTGTAATGATTGATTCATTGTTTCAACTTACAAGTTTACAGAAGCACTGAGAGGTACACCAGGGTCCTCACTTTGTAAACATCCTCATCCTGTGCAAGAGGAGGGCATGGAGATGCTGTGAGTGCTACACCCACCCTGGGGCATGGTAGCCTGCTTGTAATATAAGGGAGAAAGGGGCTTGCGTTCCCCCCTTTTGCTCTTGTTGCTTTGCTGTCTTCTGCCACCTTGAAGTGCTGCCCCTGTGCCATGTGCCACCCTCCTTGGAGCCAGCCCACTGACGACTGAAACCTCCACAAACTGTGAGCTACAAAAATGTTTCCTACTTTAACTTTTGTTGTCAAGTATTTAGTCCCAGCAAGGAGAAAAAAGTAACTGACACACCAGCACACTGAGAGGCTCAGGTAGGAAAGAGGATTACAAGTTTAATCCCAAACTGGGCAATTTAGCAATTTAGTTAGACCCTGCCTCAAAAGAAAAATGTGAAAAAGGACTAGACAGACAGCTCAGTGCAAAGGCCATAAGTTCAATATCCAGAAACATGAAAGAGAAAAAAAAGAAAGAAAGAAATTAAGAAACAAAGAAAGATTCCACAGCTTGATGAGTCTTACTAAATTTATACATCCTTGTAACCATCACTATATTCCAGGGTTTTTTCCTTATTTTCTTGTTAAGTTTTTTTAGAATGATATATTAACTCATTAATTATGCAAATTAATGGATTTTACTATGAGGTTATATTCATGTTAGGAAAAATTCAGCATCCTGAAGCACTTCAGCAACTCAATTTTCCTCATTAATAAACAGATACCAAAGTAATGAATATCTTCTCTCCACTCCCTCTCCACTCACCAAAAAGTTCCCCATAATAATATGGAGACACTAAAGAGTGGCTAGTAGGCATTTCTGATAAACACACCCTTAAATAGATGACACTACACAGATGCTGCCAGAGGAACCACCTGTGAAAATCACACAGTGTGACAAGTTGGGCTGGCAGGAAGGAGAAGGTGAATGGCCCAGGCTGGGTCCAACCTCACTCAGTCACATGCTTGATCAAAGTCAAAACTAAACTGTGTAAAGTAATAAATGTAACGCACCACATAAGGGGAAGCAGGGACAAAAATCACATGATCATTTCAGTAGATGAAAAAACATCTTTGACAAAATCCAACATCAGTTCATGGCAGAAACGCTAAAGAAAATGGATAGAGAAGGTCATTACCTCAACGTGATAAAAGTTATTTATGACCAACTCTCTGCCACCATCATACTAAGTGGGGAAAAGCTGAAAGCCCTCCCTCTAAAGTCAGGAACAAGACAAGGACATTCATATCACCACTTCTGTTCAACATAGTCCTTGAAACATTGGCCAGAGCAACCAGGCAAGAGAAAGAAATAAAAGAGTTTCATATAGAAAAAGGTTTCATACAAGAAAGGACAAAGTTAAAATATCATTATTTCCAGGTGACATGATCCTTTACTTTCAGGATCCCCACAAAAAAATTCCACCATAAGACTCCTAGAATTCATAACTAAATTCAGCAGTGTAGCAGGATATAAAATAAACACATAAAAATCAATAGCTTTCCTATGCACTAAAAATGAACTTGTTCAAAAAAATTAGGAAAATAATAGCATTCACAATAGCATCAAAAAAGTAAACACTTAGACATTAAACTAACCTACGTAAGGAAGTGAAAGGGGTCAGCAGTGAAATTACATAATACTGATAAAAGAACTCAAGGACATCAGAGGACAGAAGACATCAGACAATGGAAAAAGATCTCCTGTTGCTGATTAGCAGAACCAATATAATCAAAATGGCAGCATTTCCAAAATGGATATACATGTTTAACACAATCCCAATCAAAATACCAACATCACTTCTCACAAAACTACAGAAAACCATCTCAAAAAGTTATATGGAATCAGAAGAGACCAAGACTAGGAAAAGCAATCCTGGGTAATAAAAGCAAAGCAGGTGGCATCACAATCCCACACTTGAATTTATACTCTAAAGCTACAGTGACTAAAACAGCATGGAGCTTGCCCCAAAACAGGCCTGTGGAGCCATTGAACAGAAGAGAAGGAGCAGAAACAAACCAGGACACATAGAACTATTTGATCTTTGACAAAGAAACTAAAAACACCCACTTGAGGGAAGAGAGTCTCTTCAATAAAAAGGTGCTGGAAGATTGGATGTGCATAAGCAGAAGAGCAAGTCTAGACACATATCTCTCACCAGGTACTAAACTAAAATCAAAATGGATCAAAGGCCTAATGTTAAAGCAGAAACACTTACTCTGCTGGAAGACAAATTATGTACAACTCTTGAAGACATAGGTATAGCCAAGCACTTTTTGAATAGAACCCCAATAACACAAGAATAACACTGAGAATCAACAAATGGGATCCTAGCAAATTAAAAAGCTTCTGCACAGCAAACAACCAGCAGAGTGAAGAGATAATCTATAGAATGGGAAAAGAAATTTCTACTAATCATTCTGTGGTCAGAGGACTAACATGAAGACCACACAATCAGCTCCCCTAAACAAAAGATGTTGACTAAAAATGGGCAACTGAAAGGAATAGATCCTTCTCAAAAGAAGAAGTACAAGTGTCCAATAAATACATGAAAAAATGCTCATCATCGCTGGCCATCACAGAAATGCAAATTAAAACTACACTGAGATACCATTTCATCCCAGAAAAAATGGCTATAATCAAAAGATCTAATAATAATAAATGCTGGCCAGACTGTGGGGAAAAAGAAATCTACCACATTGTTGTTGTATCTTCGTTACTTTTCTCTTGTTGCTGAGACAAAATACCCAAAGCCCAGAATTAAGGAAGGAGAGGTTTATTTAGCTCACAGTTTGTGGAAGTTTCGGTCTATAGTCAGCTGGCTCCAAGGCAGGCTGGAACATGGCACAGGGGCAACAGTTCATGGCAGTGGAAGACAGCCAACGCAACAAGAGCAAAAAAAGGAAAAACAACAAAAAACAAACCCCCTTCCCCCCCCTAAAATGGAAAAAAGGAAACCAACCAAGCGGGGGAGAACAACTAAAACCAAAAACCCAACAAGGGAACAAGGAACAAACAAAAAACCCAAAAACCCAACCCAAGAACGAAAGAAGCCTTGCGGGGGACATCTAGACACAAACCATAACCAAAAGTAAAATAGTACCACCACTATGGAAATCAATGTGGAGATTCATCAGAAAACTAAAACTAGAAATTCCATTTGACCCAAATATCCCCCTCCTAGGTATCTTCCCAAAGAGTTAAGATCTTCATATTGTGGGGATACATGCACACCAGTGCTTAAAGAAGCACGATTTAATAGCTCAATCTTGGAAACTGCAACAGATAAATGCACAAGGAAAATGCCATGTTTATACACAATGGAGTACTATGCTGCCATAAAGAGATAAACTTGAGGCTTCATAAGTAAATGGATTCAACTTGAGAACAATGTTAGGTGAAATACATCAGGCACACAAGAGCAAATATTGGGTGGTTTTTGCTCACATGAGAAACAATATAGAACATATACTATAATATACACACACACACACATAAATAAAGAGCAAAATAGGAGATAAATAATAAATTGAGAGAAGTTCAAATATTTCCCCAAATTATAAATTTCATTTTTCAAAAAATATTTTAATATATATGCTAATTATTTTCATTTATACTCCTAGTTTATCTTAGTTCATTGAAAAGAAATTTTTGCATTATTTTTCTCTTTCAAAT